GTTCTCTAAATGTGTATTTTGTACAGTTTTATCTGAAGAGAAAGCACAAAGTGGCACAGTTTTTCTGCAGCTCCTGTGTGAGGCCACTGAGTTGAGTCTCTACGGTTCTCATGGTGAGTTTAAGTTCCTCTCTTCGCTGGGATTTCTCTCTCCGTCTCATCAGACCGAGAATCCTCCTGACAGCATCATGGCCACAGAAGAAGCTCCCACTGAAGTCTCCGCCGCCGCCGCCCCGGCAAAGGCACCAGCCAAGTCCCCGAAGAAGAAGGCAGCCAAGCCGGCCAAGAAGGTTGGTCCCGCAGCCGCTGAGCTCATCTTGAACGCGGTCACCGCCTCCAAGGACCGTAAAGGGATCTCTTACATCGCGGTGAAGAAGGCGCTGGCCGCTCAGGGCTACGAACACACCGCTCACATTAAACGTGCCGTGAAGAGGTTACTCGAGAATGGAGCCCTGGTGCAGGTCAAGGGATCCGGAGCCAGTGGCTCCTTCAAGGCAGCCAAGGCCGCCGAGAAGCCCAAGAAGGCAGCGAAGAAGCCCGCAGCCAAAGCCAAGAAGCCGGCAGCAGCAGCGAAGAAACCCGCCGCTAAGAAGCCAGCTGCCAAGAAGGCAGTAACTCCCAAGAAGGTAGCGAAGAAGCCTGCTACTGCTGCCAAGAAAACCCCCGTGAAGAAGATCACTAAGAGCCCGAAGAAGAAGGTGGCGGCCAAGAAGGCAGCACCCAAGAAGGCAGCGACCCCCAAGAAGGCAGCGACCCCCAAGAAGACAGCGACCCCCAAGAAGGCAGCGACCCCCAAGAAGGCAGCGACCCCCTAAGAAGGGCAGCGACCCCCAAGAAGGCTGTGAAGAAGGCGGTTAAACCAGCTGCCAAAGCAGCGAAGAAGGCACCAGCCAGGAAAGCATCGAGGAAGTAAACAGATCCTCTACTTCATCTCCAAAAGGCTCTTTTAAAGAGCCACCCACATACACCGAAAGAGCACTCTCCTGTTTTAATATTTAATTTTGCATAAATACAAGTTTGTTAAAGTCTGCTGCATATTTATTTGCAAAACCAGAAGATGTTGTGGTTATTTATCATTACGTATAAGTTAGTTAATTTTACAACACATTTTATTATGTTGCTATATTAGTAGACATTCACTTCACAGAAGGCTCCTCTGACAGTCACTCACAACATACATATTTTCCCATATACTTGATAGTGTATAAACCCTATGTAAATATTTTGTAGGCCTATATAACTTCATATAAATGTACATCGAAACTTATTTAATGCTACATATAATTGTGACTATTATTACACATTAATTCACTTGTACTTGAGGAGATCGGATTAGCTCCTGATTTTGATAATAAATACATTATTTTACTTTATTTTGTATGTTTAAATAATTAGATTATATTGGATATACTTTAATGGTCACATTGGTCATTTGTTTTGTCACTTCAGCATGCCAAACTATCTTATAGTGTGCTTCACTTTGATCCTTTAAGTATACTTTATTTTTAAATATTTCTCTAAGAATACACTATATTGTTTGAGTATATGTGTATAGTCAGATCTATTTTATAGTATATGTTATTCGATGATTTAATTATGTGAGGTATTTTGTACTTGACACAGTGAATGGACTAACGCTTCTCTGATTGGTCGATGGTAGTACCACTCGACCTGACCAATCAGCGGCCAGATGTTCACTCTATAGACCACCACCAATCGATGAGGAAGTATTGTTTTCTGCTAACCTAAACAGAAAATGTCAGGAAGAGGAAAGACCGGAGGAAAAGCCAGAGCGAAGGCCAAGACTCGCTCCTCCCGGGCCGGGCTCCAGTTCCCCGTCGGCCGTGTCCACAGGCATCTGAGGAAGGGCAACTACGCCCATCGTGTCGGTGCCGGAGCCCCGGTGTACCTGGCCGCTGTGCTGGAGTACCTGACCGCTGAGATCCTGGAGCTGGCTGGAAACGCCGCCCGGGACAACAAGAAGTCCCGCATCATCCCCCCGCCATCTACAGCTCGCCGTCCGCAACGACGAGGAGCTGAACAAGCTGCTGGGAGGAGTGACCATCGCTCAGGGAGGCGTGCTGCCCAACATCCAGGCTGTGCTGCTGCCCAAGAAGACCGAGAAGCCCGCCAAGAAGTGAACACCCTGAACCCGCTTCTACCAACACCCCAAAGGCTCTTTTAAGAGCCACCCACTTCCAACTAAAGAACATTCCTCTCTTCACTACACAACTACTTAAAGGCCCAGAGCAGTGATCTCCCCCTTGCTCTATATGTATTGAGTACAACATATAAAACGAGTCATATATTACACCAAGTCACTGAAACTAAAAACACCTATATTCTATAGCAATACACACTTAAAACTTAACTCTAAATTACTATTAATGTATGTATCTGTATTTCGGGGTGTAGCCTCTAAAGTAAAGCCTTATTTCAACTAAAGCAAACTCCTCTTCACAATGTCCTTCGTACATCCAGCAGGTTAATCACCACATTCTCAAATGAATAGCGCTTTGGTTTCTACATCTGTCAGAAACCAGCCCGAGTGAGCTAGAAATTGAAAATCTGCATCTGGAGTCCAATGAGGTGCTTTCAGTACATTGACTCCAGGTCTTTGAAGATCTGGAAAGATTCACCAAAAACCAAATAAACAGCAATGTTCAGATCAATTACTTATGTTTTAAATAAAGCTGAATGTATTCTAGTATTAATATCACTCTATAACCATAATACTTTTCATAGTCTATCTGTTAATTGTGGCTGTCTTTTCAAACTAAAATGTTCCTGACTTCCTCTACAGTGGACATACTGTAACATTTAAAAATACAATTACATTAAAAAAGTCTAAATTGCAAGATGTTTTTCTTTTAACCCTAAATAGGTAGGAAATCAAAAATAAAGAAGATTGGAAAACATTTGTTTCCTGGGTTCCCAGGAGGATAAAGCCCCTTTTGCTGGATGTCACGTAGTTTCCTCTATTCAATAAGGCTTCTGTATTAATGTTGCTGAATTCTACTTCACCCAAGTAGCATTCAGTACGATCCTCTGTATACCTGAGCCACGCAGTACGCCATGCTATATTTCCATTGTGAATGATGCAAGCCAGTCAGCAGTGAATATCAGGACCAAGTAAGATGTTCATGTATTGAATTGATGTGTATTTCCAAGATGCATTCAAGTCATTTCTTCATCTTTCGTTGCCAAAAAAAGTTATAATCAAACTAATACTCAAATTTCACACCAGCTGTGACTGAAAGTGTATTTGATTCAGGTCATCGCTTTGCTTATAAATAGCTGACTCCATAGTAGGAAACTCAGATAACATATACTTTATGTTCTTCATTTAAAGACATTATTTTGTTATTAGAGAATCAGAAACCATAACGGGTTTGTTGCCAAGTAACACATACTTAGAATGTGTCTTGGTGTTTTATTCGCATACATAATAAAAACGATTTTAAGAATGCTAAAATAACATTATAAATATAGCAATATGTACATCAACATATGTATGCATTACAATATGCAGAATTCAGAGTTTATGAATGTATAGAATAATTTGTGCATCATTCATCTTTGCTGGACTTTTGTATCATAGACAAAGTGTTAAAAAAGCTGTATGTCACACATGGATGTATAATAAGAACAGTTTAACAAATGAGCGCGAAATTTGAATTTTCCAATCTCTACCAACCAATAGTTGAGCTGCAGTGTCACGTGTATACATTTGACCAATCAGCGTCGTTGCCGTGCCTGCTCTGGCTATATAAGAGACACAGACAAGTCTTCCACCTTACTACTTTCAAACAGAGAAGCAGACTCTCTCTAGCCATGGCAAGAACCAAGCAGACCGCCCGTAAATCCACCGGAGGAAAGGCTCCCAGGAAGCAGCTGGCCACCAAGGCTGCTCGTAAGAGCGCCCCGGCCACCGGCGGCGTGAAGAAGCCCCATCGTTACAGGCCCGGTACCGTGGCTCTGAGGGAGATCCGCCGCTACCAGAAGTCCACCGAGCTGCTGATCCGCAAGCTGCCCTTCCAGCGCCTGGTGAGGGAGATCGCTCAGGACTTCAAGACCGACCTGCGCTTCCAGAGCTCCGCCGTCATGGCTCTGCAGGAGTCCAGCGAGGCCTACCTGGTCGGCCTGTTCGAGGACACCAACCTGTGCGCCATCCACGCCAAGAGGGTCACCATCATGCCCAAGGACATCCAGCTGGCCCGCCGCATCCGCGGAGAGAGGGCTTAGACTGACCTGAGACCAGAACACCGAAACACAACGGCTCTTTTAAGAGCCACACACACACACTTACAGAGCAACCCGTCCTGAAACACATGTGTGCAAATACTTTATAAACACATTGTCCCCCTTTCATTATTAAAGCATGGTCCACAGTAACACATTATGATAAGATAGTATATAATGCTGATCCATATTGCAACTATCACTGGGTTTGTAATGCAGGCTCTCATTTATGGCTAGACTCCGACATCTAGTGGTGTTTTTAGATAAAGCTCATTCCAACACAACGTAACTGAATACATCATGTTGTTCTTTAAACATGTTCATATAATTACTAGTCCTGAGATATATGTCTATGGGCCATTCTACCGAAATGTACCAAAGTCAGGTTGGAAATGTTTTGAAATTGTGTGTTTTTTCCCCAAAACTTTGTCCATATATATTTTGTACCATATCTAAATTACACACATCTAGTAAAATAACTACATTTTTATATCGTATTTTCAGACTGTTGGAATCTTCTTCCTCTACCATAAATGGTCACTATGGAAACATAGTACATACACTATAGTAAAAAGTATTACCTTATTGCGTAAAGGTCCCATGTCATGCTTCTCCGGTTATCACCGTGTGTTATGAAGGTTTTTCTGTTTCTTTGGTATTTTGAGCAAAACACTTCATAGACATGTTTTTTATATATTTCTGAGTGCTATAATACATGCCTACAAATAGTACAATAGGAGAGCTTTAAAGTAACACACTGATTTTCAGACTTTAAAACACATTTATTTCAGAACTATGGGATTTACCTGCTTACCTTTCCAGGTCGTCACTACCGAAACGATCATGTCAATTACCGAAACTGAACCAAATGTTTCGGTCGTGACGATTCCAGCTCAAATTGAGCATAACTAAAGAATGCTAGCAAGTACATGGCTAGCATTCACGCTTTAGAAGAGGTTTGCACATAAACACTTGCATCTAACTGTGTGTGGGCTGTGTATAACATACAGTTTAGTTTAAACACTATTATTTAAGATGTTACTGATTTATGTAATGTTGAAATAGTGCTGGATAATAGTTTGTACCATGTTTGTTTTAGAGCTACTAAACTAACTCCTAACGGTATAGATATAATATACAATGGTCACATTAAAGAACTGCTCATTGGAGATGATAACTTCATTAATATATGTACCTAGATATACCTCATTTCTTAAAATAACAAATAAATAAAGAACTGTTAGAAAGACACACGTGCTAATATTGAATCCACTACAATAGAGCCACTATTTTCGTCCTGCTCCAAACATGTGTTGGTGAACTGACACCTGTGGATAAAGGCTGGGACTAAAAACAACCTGTTCTGTTTTCACTTCAAAGTGCGTGTGGGCAAAAGATACGATCGAGAGCTTAAATGTTACGGTACGCTATTGATCGGTGAACTGCAGACACCTGCCAACAAGTAGCTACTGATAGAGTGTAGTGTCAACTGTTAACTGTGTTCTTATTCTCAGCGTCCAGGAAAGAGAAGCTTAAAAGGAGACTAAATGGAGTCTCTGGAGGTTCAAAATTGGTACTTTAATTAATAAAAAAGCGCAGTAAAGTCACAAACAGGATTGTTCATTCAGGAGAGAAAGTCTGCAGCTTTCTCTCCCAGGGGGTGGCCGTGCAGAAGAGACCTTACAAGCATTCGTCCTTCCCGCTTGCTCGCTGTTCGCTCCTCCTCTCTGTGAGCTGTAGTGACGTAAGGGACTCCCCCCCCCTCGTTCGTCTGTGTCCGATATCGCGTTAAACAGAGGATTTTGACATTTTACATTCATTGCTTACTTCCACATGCCTTTTCTCCTCCTTATCTCTTTCATAACTGTATATGTAATACATGTTAACGGCGTCAATAGCCACTTTAATGATACTAATGGGCGGTAGTCCCGGATGTCGTCATGAAGGATTTTCAGAATAAAAGCTTAACAACTGGTTGTGTGGTGAACTTCTGGTTTTTCAGTATAAAACAGCATTTAAACTGACGGGATGTTTAGGGTACATTATGCCATCAAAACATTGATTTTAATTTCTAACAGTCCCTCCTTACACACCTAAAAGGTGTGTACAATACTGAAATAAATGAGTTCTTCATCTGAACTCTGCATAGTACATAACTCATATATCAAAAACATACAATCAAAATGGAAAGGTTCGAATAGCCTCAACTTTACAAAATACAAAAATACCTTGACTGTATTTAAACATAAAGTTGTACCTTGTGCATAACTTCTAGTGTTAACATTCAATATGGTTCTTCAAAATAGCAGCAATGGCTTGGTATCAGAACATTTCTTCCTCCCTCCTTTCACAGAAACCGTTCCCATACCACGCTCAGTGTTAAGGCACTTGTTTTTACAAAGTGAAAAGAAACGACCCATTTCAGAATAGCAATGATTTATAAAACATGGGATCCATCATATTAGAACAGTGAAAAATAATAAAAATTAAATAAACTATCTTGGTCCAGTGTAATGTAATAATAAAAATATACCATCTTGGAATAGTATATTATAAATTGAAATGGATTCACTCCATTTTAGCATTTTATTTTTCTCACTTCTTCACATGATTTCATCATTTAAAGAATCACATTGGCTGGACATTCATTGAACAACCTGGTCTCTGAACATCCATATCATTTAACATCATTCAAACTAACTCATCATTTTCATCAACATCTGTATACAGGGGTGGATCGTCCTGTTCTTCTAGCATTTGTAACTGTCCCCCATGAGAAATGTACCCTCCCTCCTTTCATATCATTTAAGGTATGAAAGTAATATGTTCTCTAGAAGAGGCCGTTGTAATCAATCGGTATTTTAGGACATGGAATTAGTGCAACATCTAGGCCTCCCCTGGGCGCCCCTATGCTATCCTTGTACCCTGGAGCCTAAACTCCCCCTGGGACTGGTCTCTTAGCCCTACTGGCTTTGGGGTGGTCTGTTCTAATACAGTGATAAAGTCCCTGAAATGGTGTGAAAACCGGTGGAATATCAATAACTCATTATACTAATTTATTTTCATTTCTGGTCTACTTAAATAACTATGCTAACCTCCTTAACAGTGTGTGGAACCTTGGGTGCTTTAACAAGGACTTTAAAAACAGAAGTCATTTCATTAATGGTTTGTAGTTCAATTCAGGAATGTTCACTCATGGCAGATATGTTTCTCCTTTTAAATAACATCTCTAAATGTCAGGTCATCACCGATTAAATGGATGAGCATTAGGAGGTGGTGGCACTTGTCTTTTAAAACTCATACTCTGGTGCCGTGCGCTCCCTCTGAAGCTGCAAGTAAGATTTAAAACATCTGCAGGGTGGGTTGAGTAACCCCTTCTCCCTGAACGATATTTGTTGTTGAAAATATGCACCATTAAATGAGTGATCCAAGGCCCCGCATGTATTACTCCCAATTATACTAGTTTTTTCAAAATTAAAATCTTCAATCGCTCTTTGCCTAGTGTCTTTTTAAAACTCTACATCTTGGACGACAAACAAATGTTGTTTCCACCTTAACAGTTCTCCTATGGTAATAACCATGCTACAATGGTGAAACCAATACTCTAGATTGGAATACTTTCTTTGGCTTTGTTGTGAGTTTTCATAGTATGTTTAATACTTAAACGAAAGTTAGTTATAATCAAATATAATCAATTATATTCTTGTATAACCCACAATGAAAATGCTTCATATTTTAGGTTTTTCTATAGTTACAGTATAAACAAAACCAAGTGGTTTGTTTAGGTTGAGTATGTAAGGTGTCTCTGATAAGAGAGTAGACCGTTTTCCTCCCTCTCCTCTGGCAGCAGTCCACAGGGAGGGGGGGGGCTCCAGGCTTAAGGAGAAACACATTAAAGGCCAAAGAGAGTTCATGTCCTTTTCACACTAACATGAGAAGGTGTGTCTTATGTCATAAAGCTATGGAACATGTCGAGGCATGTTCAGCCTTGTACATTAGAGGGCATGCGCAGTTTTCAACTGAATTGGGGTGTAGAGGAGGAGTTTGTTTTTTGGGTTTTCGATCCAGTTTTTTTAGCATAAAGAGACTGGTTTTTTGAGAGAGCGAGAGAGAGAGGGGGGTTTTTCCCCTGGTATACTCTCTCCCGGCAGGCTGTGTGCTTCAGAGCTGGGTAACTAGCTCTCGGTAAGGTTCTGCCAGACGGGGTAAATATCTCTCGAATTTCTTGGTTGTTGGCTGAGTGGAATGATTTGATGAGAGATGTGTTTGTGAATATTATAAATACCGCCATCTGTGAGGAAAATCTCTCCCTCCGAAATTGCGGACAGGTATGGGTTTTTGAATGTTATACCCGCCGTCTGTGTCGGAAAAAAAGTATGAAACTGATGTGAATTGATTGGTGAATGGAAAGTTGAATGCGCTTTTTATGGTCACCGGTCTTTTTACGAGGAAATACCTCTAAATTCTATCGGGAGAATTTTTAAAATGTCACAACTGAATTGGGCAGTTGAAATTAAAACATGTTGGTAATAAATGTAAGACTGAGAATTAAAGTTTCATATTTGAACATGATCACAGCACCAGGTTTTTAGTATGATTATAATGTTGTAAAGAGAGAAGGTAAAAACCCTGTATTAGTTTGGACCTATTTTTCTTCAAATAAACTGAATCCCACCAGTTGGATTGGGATAATTTAAAAGACACCTGTGCCCTCCTCTCCTGCTTCAAAGGTAAGATTGCACCCTGCCACACACACTTAGGTAGGAGCACACTCCATTTACTGATATCAAAATCCTTCGGGATCCCTTAAACAGATTAAAAAAGAGTTGTCTGAATTGAAACAGCAGTTAATTGAAACCTTGGTTCTTCGGGAAGTTAGTAGAGGTGAGATCTTGCTGACGTTGGTGGATCTGAGCCAAGCAGCAACCTTACATAGACTCAATAACTTCGGAAAGGTCAATTAGTAGGTCAGAGTAATTTACCGGAATAAAATTATCAGGACCTCTCCAACTCTAAACAGCTTGGTTCCAGCTCTACCTTTAACATTTTCCATTCAAATAAAGATTTGCCTGCTATCTATATTGTAACAAATTAAATCTTCCCCAAATTCTCACATGAATAATAATCTCTATAAGAATAATTTGTTTATATTATG